TGTCCCTTCTTTCTCCCTACAGCCCAGGTCCTAGTGGCCCTGCCTCCTCAGCTGCTCATGCCAGACTTGCTTCTTGGAGCTCCCATTGGAACACTACCTTAGTGGCTGTCTTCAGCTAGACAGCGTTGAACCTTGTACCTCCAGAAGTTCTTGTCTGTAAATTATCTATCCCCCACATTTGTGTCCTAGTTTTCCTTTCTGACTGACACAACTGTATGTATTTCTTGTGTACAATGTGATATATTGAAATCCATACATATTGTAGAATGGCTAACTATAATTAATAAATTATGCATTGCTGTTGTAGATTGTTAAAACATTTATTTATTTTTATTGGAAAGGCAGATCAGATTTATGGAGAGAAGGAGAGAGAAAGATCTGTCTGCTGGTTTACTCACCAAGTGGCCTCATCGGAGAGAGGTGATCCGAAGCCAGGAGCTTCTTCTGGGTCTCCCACACGGGTGCAGGGTTCCAAGGCATTGAGTCATCCTCCACTGCTTTCCCAGGCCACAAGCAGGGAGCTGGATGGGAAGTGAAACAGCTGGGACATGAAACAGTGCCCACGTGACATCTTGGCACTTGAAGGTAAGGATTTAGCCAATTGAGCCATTGTGCTGGACCTTGTTGTTTTTGAACCCGGGTCTATGATTCACTGACAAATGCAATGGATACTTTTAAAGAAAAAGTCCCACTGAATTCATAGGTACTGTGAAGTATTTCTCCCTCTTAAGAGATCAACTCAGAGTCAAGGGAGGTCTGAGAATATTTTAAATTTTTAGGCATTGATTTTATTTGAAAGACAGAGCAAGCAAGAGAGAGAGAGAGAGAGAGAGAGAGGAGAGAGAATGAATTATCCCCCATCTTCTTTTGGTTCACTCCCCAGATATCAGCATCCAAGTTGCACAAAGTTGAAATCAGGAGCCCAGAGTTCACTCAGGGTCTCCCAAATGGGTGGCAGGTTCCCAAGTACTTGGGCTGTCATCTGTTGCCTCCCAAGGTGTGCATTAGCAGCAAGATGGAATGTAGAGCTGATTTGGAACTTTAATCCAGGAACTCCTATATGGGATGCAGGAGTCCCAAAGAGCATCTTAACGAATGAACCAAATGCCTGCCTCTGAGAATGATTTGACATTTAAAAGAGGTCCTTCTACAAAACCCACTGGCCTGCATATGGTTTAGGGGGAGAGCCAGGCTTGGCTAAGTGACAATATTCATTGGTGCATGCATGAACCAGAGTGTCTGCAGGCTGTTTAGAGTGCTGCAGCATCAGCTGGCAAATGGACTGCAGGCAAGTCCTGTCAGTCTGGACCACAGTACCACCTAGAAAATAAAAGATCCGGGGCTAGGAATGGGCTTAGGAGGGAAACTGTGGGCACTCTTCTAATGGGCCGCAGCTCCTACTGGTGAGCAGGGGGACCAGAGCTGGGGATGGACCTGGCTGAATAAATGTAGCACCCACCAGCACAAGTGTGAGCTGGATAATGGGGCCTGTTGAGCTGAGTTAGGCTGCAGCACACATTGATGTGTAAGACAGCAAAATAGGATACAGGATAGACCAGACCACTCTGCTGCACATACCAGCACACAGAAACCAGGGCTGGAGGTGAGCCTGGTGAGGGTTATTGGGGATTGCTGAGTGTGCTGCAGGCCCCACTTGTGTGTGTGAGGCCAAGTATATGGTAGGCAGGGTTGAACTGGAGTGTAGCATCCATTGGTTTGTATATGAGATAGGTCTGGGGACAGTACTGATCCAGAAACTGCAATTACTAGTGTATAGTGTAGGCTAATATGGGTGATAGACTGAGCCGGACTCCATACTGGCTGGCACATATAGAAATCAGTTCTGGGGTCACCCCTGGTAAGGTTTCTTTGGGGATCAACCCCAACCCCTGCAACTGGATCACTGGACTCAAAACTCCAACCACAGGGAAAAAACACAGGATCTGCGGTCTGACTGTGGGGTCCATATGTCAGAAATGGGCCTCCTCATTTACTGAAGCCTGGGTAGGAGATAACATGCCCAGATGCACATGGGAACACATGACAGATCATTGGGCCTGCAGAGGACATCTAGTACCAGGCAGAACAAAACGGATGACACTCTTGGCCTGGCTTCGACAGCAAACTTCTGGGAGAGTCGAGACTCTGACGTGGACTATGTCAATGGACTTAGGAGGGATTTGCTCAACCTTGGAGCAATGAAATCAACAGCATCTCAGGACTACCAAAACCACTTTAGCAGTACCCTTGGAATATGCTCCACATCAGGGACTCTAGGATGACATCGGGTGTTTGTCCCCCATTCCTGGGTATTGATGTTATTAGGCTATTGAAAATAGCCCTCTCCTGCTTCTCTCTCTCTCCTTTTCTCCTAGAAACAGGAAGATAAAAAAGGAAGACTAGAAGCAGTTGTCTCATTCACTTTTCCCCCATTGTGACCCTTCCTAAGCACTGGTTCACGTTGGTATACATTCTTGTCAACTACGTAAATATCATCAAAAAGAAAACAGATCTATTCTGAGGGGGGGGAAAAACCAATAAAACGACCCCTTGTTAGAACAGCCATTTGGCCTAACAGTTAACACATCACATCCCATAGGAGAGTAGCCACATCAGGACCCAGCTTGGCATTCCAGCTTCCTGCTAACACGGACCCTGGGAAACCAACTGAAGAGACAATCTTCCCGTCACCCAAATCCAAACCTGGGATTGTGATCCTGCTTCTTAGCTCCTCACTGAGCTCCCCACCCAGCAGTTACAAGAATCTGGGGAAGTGAACCAGAGGATGGGAGCACCCCCCTTCTTCTCAAATAATAATTGAAAAAAAAATACAAATATAAATAAATAAAAGGGGTCCTTGTGACCACAAAGGTCGGGAACAATCCCCAAGGGGATCTGTAGGAGCACTGAGATCTCTGGCTGTGTTTTCTTGTCTGTCAAATAGAGGTAAATCACAATGGGCTTCTTTTTTTTTTTAAGGGCAGGAAATAGAATGTTCCGCATTCAGGAGGGGCACAGAGCAGTGCTCTTGTGATCCCTGTGGTTGTGCTGGGAGGGCTGCCCGATTGGACAGCAGATAGGGCTGGGGGAGACACAACTCTAACTCTGCAGGGGAGGCTTACTGCTGTGGTCTCCTTGTTCTTTACCTTTCCTGCAACCAGCAGGATGCGCTAAGGCCGGAGCCTCCAAGCCCATGAAAGGCTTTCCCAGAGCAGTGTGTTCTTCTGCCTTTCTCCACCCCAGTCGGCTCTCTGCGGAACAACAACAAGGAGCTGCCCTATATGTGACTAACAAACATGTCAAGTTCCTCTTATCTAGTCTACTAACCGCTGTGGCTTCAGAAGTTGCAATGTTTGTCTCTGTTTAGTCGCGGTTGCCTAGGAAACCAAGTTGTTCTCTCTTCTTTACCACTGTGTGACTATGTGACAAGGGTTTTTTTTTTTTTTTTTCTTTCCCTTTCTTGTACAGAAGGACTTGCTGGCCAGAGAAAGACCACTAACAAGGTAGACAGGGAGAGAAAGGGCTGAAGGACTTGGGGGTGTTGTTGGGATGTTATCTAGGTTTCTCTCTTTTTTTGTTTGTTTTTGTTCAACTGGAAGTTGGGTATGGGGCATCAACAGAAAATGAGTCGAATAGTGCAAGTTTCACAGCTTGATTTGAATCAGGGGATATGTTTTGTGAGTAAATTGGAATTGGGAGAGCCAAGGCCAGAGCATTGGAGTATGGGGGTAGTAGGTGGGAATTGCTGCCTGTGGGCTATAACTGTGTTAGTCCAAAGGTTGTATTTGTACCTGCAGTGTGAGATCTGTGTGCCACGATTAAAACAGTAGGAATGAAAAATAAATTTTTTCTAAGGAAGAATTTTGATGACTGGAAAGGAATAGGGCCATGGATGTGAACTTTACAGAGAAGGTAACGTCATTTTGACTACACTGAGGGCAGGGACTGGTGCAAGGGAAGGAGTCAGGACATCTTGGTCACCTTTAGATTTGCTGCTCAGAAAAAGCACATTTTATTCAATTTCAAGTGGCAAAGGGATAGATTCAAGCTGTCACAGGGAGTTGAAATTGAATGGAGTCACTTAAATGGAGGTGGCAATCTTTTTTGGAGTATTGGGCTTAGAATACAGTTCAGAGGCCAGAGCGGGCCCAGGATGGGGTGTGCTAGAGGAGACACTTAATGCTTATCCAGAGCTAGTGGGATATGGCAGGACTGCAGCTGCGGGAGGCATGGAACTGGAATGTGATGGGCAATGAGTCCCAACAAGAAGCAGAAGAAAGCTCGAGGCAGGAACCTTAGACTTGGCCTTGCCCCCAGTGGCTGGTGGGTTTTGTTAGCAGAACCTTCAGCAGTGCCTATGGAACAGCAGGAATCGGGGGCTTCTTTCCCTGAGTGGGTGGGGACAGGGACCAAAGAGGGCAGGTGGCTTTCCACGTCACAAATTCTCCTTTTACTCACCAAGGCTCTCTTAGCTTCCTTGCCAAAGTCAAGAGTGTCACATGGATTGATATTAAGGGAATACATCCAATGATTGTGACAAGTGTTTTTGAACGAGGAAAAAGCCCTACTTGTGATTTTGTCTTTCCTCTTCTTGGTTCCCCACTTGCACATTCTGCTTTTTCTTTTGGGCCTTCTTGAGGGTATTCCACCAATGACGCTGCTAAGCTGAAGCTGTTTGCTAGCAATCACCTCACAACACACTCCCACACTCCTATGAAGTAGAGGAAATGATGCGGGGCTGAGTGTCAACTCCCAGAACAGCTGTGTAACTCTGGGCAAGTCTCTCAACTGGCTGTGTCTCAGCTTCCTTCCCCACACAGTGAAGAGTAGAGTATGTCCTCCCTAAGGGTACTGTGTAAATGATACAAACTCTTGGGGTGTATCATGGTTACAGCAATGACGTGATACTCCAAGAACATTTAGAGAATCAAAAAATCAACCCCCTCCCTCTGAAGTAGCGCACTGTCCTGCCCAGATAGTTCACTCACTCCGACACCAAGTTTATTTTTAGAAAAAAAGAGCAAAGTTTATTGAAATTTCAAGCTACAATTGAAAAAAAAAATTGAAATCCAAATCCTGGAGACATATATCAGGATAAGGTGTCAGAAAGTGGAAAGTGTTCACTGTCACAAAATACTTTTGAGACGAGCTCCCCGGGCACACCCCTGATTCCACTGGAACACAGCCATTCCCTCATCTAGCTCTCGTTCACAACAGGACATCATCTTCAATGTTCACATGCAAAGCTTCCCATCAGAATCTTAAACAAAAAAGAAATGTTCACATATGCCACTGTGAAGTCCCAACTGGTCTTCTCTCAACCCCATTCTATGTAGTCAGCACCAGTGAATAGTGGGTTTGGCATTCGAAAGAGAACTTCACGTGTCCAGCGGACCGATGGGAAAAGGCTCACAGCAGCAAGGCGTCTATGGCCACATCCTGACACTGGCCCGCCGTCCCCAAATGTATTCCGGAGCCTCACTTAACCTCAAGGACAAACTGGATCAGCTCAGTAAATGAACACATTCAGGGAATTAGCCTTAAGAAATAAGGGACGGGTCAATGCTCCCAAAGCTGGTTAGGCCCTTCAACACGTAGGTGTATGTTTATATATATATACATCACTACACTAGGATATAGATCTAGCCCTATGGGTATATATACGCATTTATGGCTATATAGAAAAACGATGCCAATACTAACCAAACAGAACTTTGTAAGCGGTCACCCCAAAGCCATAATCCCACACTGGGCTGTGCACAAAGCCATGCATTATACCATATTAACCAACAGAAGGCTGACTTGGCTCAATCTCTCCCATCTACCCCCAGCCTTGGAGAGCAAGAGGAGAAGGGAGAGTTTGCTTCTGCTTAAAACACAAGTGGCTTCTTCATAGGAACAGTCGTTGTCAGGTGAAGCTGCTGAAGATGTCCATGGAAAGGAAAAAACAAAACAAAACAAAACAAAACAAAAAAACCCCAAAGAACAGACCCCTTAAACTTTCTGGAGAAAACTGGCATCATGTCACAAACTACCTCTCTCCTTTGCCAGTCATGCTTAAGTTGCTCAGATGACATCAAGAGGCTCACTGGCTTGAGGTTATGAGACCCCGTACAACTCAGCCTCCAGAGACCTGCTATTTGTCAGGGATCTGTCGTTACAGTGGACCCAGGTGGCCATGTCCTTGAGGGGACATCTCTTGGCACCAGCAATGTTAGGTGTAAAGTTCTCCACGTGAGATGACGTTTAGGGAGCCAAAAAACAAACCGGAAAGAACTAGGTAGAACAACTGTTGTGGCTCTGCCCACTCTGAGGACAGAGCCACTTACACCGCAGAGCCATCAGGGGCCTCAGGCGCTTCTGGGGCATCAGGTGCCGGCTCGTCAGGGCTCAGCCGAGACTGGAACTTCTCCAACTGCTCTGGGCTTGCCAGGGTCTTCAGGAGGGTGTTCTCGCGCTCCAGCTGCGAGTTCTTCTCCACCAGCTCTCGAATCTGCTCCTTCAGGATCTCCACCTCCTCTCTCACAGCATACATCAGGTGATTCTTCACCAGATCCTGCCACAGAGGAAATCTCAGCAAAGCCATTCTTGTACCCTGGCCCTTGGTGTCCTCGGTGTGCCTGTGCCGCCCCTGCAGTCACCGCTGTCCAGCTTCCCCCCATCTCCCCCTGCCTAGCACACTGGCCCTTAGGATGCCTGCTTTCCCCAGCCCAATTCCTTAGGATGCCTGCTTTCCCCGCCTCCTTCTGCCACTCCCCATCCCCCTACCTGCAGCATTGAAGCCCTCACTCAACACACTTACCTAGTTCAGACCAAGCCAGGGAGGGGAGTCCAGCTTTGAACAAGACAGGTCCCCTCTCCTCCCAGGTAAGTTTCTAATGACTTTCAAAGCTGACTGTACCTTTACTGGTGACCAACTATATGTCCCTCTTTCCACGTAAGTGTCCTACCGCTGGCCCACATCCCAAGGGTTGGGGAACCTACAACGTACTCTATACCATTTGTCTGCTTTATAAATCTGCACAAGAGATGCACAAATCTGCACAAATCGGCTCTTTGGGGCTCTCTCCTCCACAGGAGCCAGCAACCAAGTCACAGCTGTCCTGCAGCCAGACCAGACAGGACACAGGACATTGGGAGGAAGGTACAGGGATTGCGGCATCCTCTCTGAATATGAGACCCATCTGAGGGCCCAGAGCTGCCATCACTAGAGTTCCAGGGCAGTGGTCTATACGTGGCTCTAAAAGACTAGAAGCCCCTGGCTCTGTGGCCATTTTGGCTGCTTGTTGGAGCCTGAGCTCTACCTGGGTAAGGAGTGGGAGAAGGGGTGGGATGTTTGGCTTCCTGCTTCCTGACCCCAGGCCAGGCTCTGCAGAGGCGCTGCAGCGCTGCTGCATCCAATGAGCTCTGCCCCTTGCAGGATAGAGACACATGCAAGGCCAAGCTCCCTGCTCTGCAGCCCGCCCAGGAAGAAGCCAGAGGCTGCTGCAATGACCTGAGCCAGACAAGAGTGTTGGAAAGGAGGGGGCCCAGCAAGGGCAGACTACAAACGTCTTCAGAAGTATTCCCCCTAGACCTCCTCCCCCCGCCCCCCCCCCGCCGGCCCTGGACTTTAGCTCAGGTCTCTCGGGGAAAGATGAGCAGCAAGCTGCCTGTTTCCTCAGGCTTTGGGTTAACGGCTGTTGCACCCACCCTCTCAGGCCTGCCCAGAGTTACATAAGCAGCAGCTAAGTATGGGGGATGACGCAGGGATGCCACTCACCATGGCCTGCTCGATCTTGTTGTCTATGGCTACCACGCTGGCTCCAGAGGCACTGCCAAGACAAAAAGCAAAGCGGTCCGTTACCCACTCGGTTCCACTCTGAGTACCTGTCAGCTGTGGCCCAGTTCTCCATCGGTCCTGGCTCCTCCTCTCTGCTACCTCCCAGGCCCGGAGTTCCAGCAGAGTTCCGAGCACTTTGTCCCTAGAGCCTTCCCAGGCCCCTGCAGGAAGCTGCACCTCCCCACCCCAGCTAGATCCACGTCTCTACCCGCCACCGCCATGGAGTTTAGACCGACCCCAGGGGTGAGCAGGCAGGGCCCGGGGCGCACCAGAAAGCGTGGCCTGTTTGAGCGATATGCAAACAATGGGGGCGCGCAACCCAGGCAGTGGTCTCCCGCCGCTTGCCTAGAGGGTCCTGGGCAAACCTACCCGGTTCCGAACCTAGCAAGAAATTCCTTTGCAAGTCGGAAGCTTCTGGCCTTCTTCCCCAGCCGCACCCTGCCAAACCGCAAGCCCCCTGCCCTGCCGTGCCCAGCTCTGCCTGGCTTGTTTCTGCGGCTGCAGCAGCTGGTTCTCAGGGCGCAGCGGCCGCAGGGACGCTCCAACGACGGATCCCAGCGCAGCGATGACCCCCCCCCCCGCGTCCCCGACTCCCGCCCCTTCCCAGGATGCTGCACCACGGGGAACGGGGACCGGCAGCGCACAGCTCGCCGCTCGGAGATCAGCTCAGAGCCCAGCCCCCGCCGGCGCGGCCAGGCTCCACTCGGTACAGCAGCTGGGCTCAGTGGTTACCTGTTATCCAGCTTAACGGAAACCACATCCCCTCCAAGCAGGGAAGAGAAGAAAGAGATGGAGAAATTGTGCAGCTGATAGACCGCCACCTCCATGGGGGTCTGATACATTTCGGTGTTCATAGCTTGGGCTGCAGGGGAGCTCTGGCCGGGCTTCGGGTGGGCTGGGCGGGCTAGGCGGCTGCCGGCTGTTGGCTGCTGGCGCGCTGCACTGGGCTGGGCTGTGAGCCGGAGTCGGCCTTGGGGCTGGGAGGAGGGCGAAGGCTGCAGAGAGGACCCAAAGCCAGGCAGGCACTCCAGCTGGAGTTGAAGGGAAGTGACTCGAGGGGTGTCACCTAATATGTGTCACACACTCCACGGCCGCCAGTCCAACCCAGACTCAGAGATATTTCGGCTCCTGCTTCTTTATATAGGAGGAGCCGGTTGCGTCACATGGCGTCAGGGGCCATGCAAATGAATCCTGTACCCGGGCTTTGTGGCCCAGTTAAACCACATCCCCTCCCTGAACCTTAGGCCGAGACTGTAAACAGTTCAGCGCTTTCTTGTGCCAACTGGCATCTCCAATAGAGGACTCTGGGGGTTGGTAAAAACCAAACCAGAGCTGACTGCAAGGGAAATAAGAAGCATGAATGTGCCGGCAGGAGGTAGGAAACATTCAAGAGAGGATCGTGCTAGTTTTAAAAGCTTTTTTTTTTTTTCTTCAGGTGTCAGCCAATATATCACAATGGCTTTGCAATGCTCTCAATTTGTCACACTCCCCGGACACCCACCGTTATTCACCACCAGGAGCCTTTCTTACTGTTGACTGCTCTCACAGTCTCCTTCCTGAACATATATTTGTGGCACCTCACTGCAGTGCAACTGTTCTCTCAACCCAGCCAGCCAGTAGCATATTTGCCCCCAAACTCTGGCACCCACCCACTCACGTGCTTTTTTTCCCCCCTCTGAAACATGTAAGTGTGAGAGTATTGGTATACTGACACAGGCACAGATCCGTGACATGCAGGTGACAGCTGCACGGCTCTGTACTACTCTGTACCTAGATGTTTATGGAGGACAGGGTGCCCAAGAACTCGGGTGAGTGGGCGGATATGTGCACGGGAGCAGCTAGGTGGGTAATGGAGGAGGTGGAAAAAGGAATGGGTGTGGGGATGGGCCCTGGGGTGACCAACAAGATGTCAGCTATGGGGGAGAGGGGTCCTGCAGGTTACTTAGTAAGGGAACTATATTCAACATTATCCAGGAGCTCATGTCTCATTAAAAAAAAAACAGAATATTGTTACTTTCCTATAAACAACAAATGACAATAAAACTACATACCAAGGCTACATATAACTGATCCCAAGAAAATACCTGCCATATGTAGCATTAGAGGGCACTTCAGGAAAAATAAACACCGAACCATAGGGAAAATTAAGTGACTGTTGCCTAATAGGAGTTGAACATGTTCTATATATTTCCATTCTTTTCTGCTTCAAGCTTTAATACAAACACACGCATGCACACACACACAAAAGGCATCAGAAGACCTTTTCTCCTGCAGGCTCCTAGGCGAGCCATCTGGTGGACAGAGGCAGAATTGCAACCAGAAGGAGTAACCTGGGCAGGGAAAAGAACAGGTGTGATGCAACCAGGGATATTATTCACACTAACCCGTGACCATAAGGAGAACATTGGGTTCCACTACATATACAATACTTTGGATGAAGTTAAGGCCAGGACCCATGAATCAGTGCTCTACAGGCTGTGGTCCAAAGAAATGGCCTAATGCAATCATGCTATTGGAAAAATACTAGGGCCTCTTATCAACAAAGAAGGTAATTATTGTTGGCTTCAGGATATTTCTCTTAACCAGGTGCTTGGCACTGACACGCTGGCGATGGCACCAGCCAAACCCAGTCTGAAGGCCTTGATTTCTTTCAGGCTTCCACCACAATTAAACCACTGAAGAGTTAACATTTTTGGCTACGCTGTGGGCCCCCTGCCCCGGCACATTGCAGAGGTGGCAATAACATGCATATAATTACATATTTGCAAGGTGTGGATCAATAGACCCTCTAAGAACACCTGATACATGAGCCATCAGTGCTGATTTTCTTCACCATACACAATTCCAATCTCAGGACAGGCTGTTAATTTTAGGAAACAGGATTTCTGAAGCTCGTGCTTTTGACTAAGTTGTGTGCAGGAGGAAGAACAAAATGCAGTCTATATGTTTAGGTCATCAGGAGCATTATCCTAAAGGAAAAAAACTTTCTGAAGTCAGGAACTTAACTGATATTGGAATTCTCTGATTCACTAGTTTGTCCTCTATTTCTGAGTTGACCTTTCACTTTCACTGGCTTGTTCATTTTTCCTGAACTACTGTTACTAACTCCAATGTCCCATAGGAGATGATAAGAAGAAGAAAGCAAGAGAGAAATAAACTGGGATGGCGGGGTGAGGGAAGGTAGGGAACACCACGGAACACTGGGCACAGATCAGTGCTCAAGCAGCTTCTTTAACCATGAACCCCCCTTAATGGAGGCAGAGAAGGCATCACAGTTGGGAAGAGATGCAAAGGGAGTTAAGTTTTCTACCAAAGCTGCCATGGAACTGTTCATTAATTATACTTCCAGCAAAAAAGAAGCTGAGTTTGAGACCCACTGACAGCAGTAGCTACCATCCACGGAGCATCAGGCAAGGGAAGATACTGTGCTGGTAATGCCACAAACTGAGCAGGCTGCAGGTATGTTGAGAGGCTCCCTTGCCCAAGGGGCTAATCAGTTGCAGAGGCGGGACTCCAACTTGGGTCTTTCTGACCTAGAGACCAAGTTTCTTTCTACTGCAGACATTAGTGAGGCAGGGAGTAGGTATAGTTTATGAGCTGAAGCTCAAAGAAATGAGTCGGGGCTGTCAAGGGATGGAATGGAAAGTCCCAGAGAGTGGTGCGGATGAGTGCCGCTGTCAGAGAGGTCCAGTGGCCCACTTGGAGCTAATAAGTGCAGGTGGCTTTTCTGACATTCAAGGCAGGGGAGAAGATTAGCCAGGCTGTCCAGATGAACATCAGGAGAGGGAGAAAGAGGGCTGGGCTCGCCCATACCAGCTCAAAAGGTAGCCAAACAACCTCTGTCTAGGAAATATTCATCCAGCCTGGTGGTTTCTAGAATGGAACACATAGTCCTAGGGTACCCAATACCTCAAGTAAAGCATGAAATGTCTGGATAGTAATTGCAGTCCATTCAAAGCTTGAATTCCTGGGGTTCCACTCACTGGCCCCCTTGATGGTGCTCTTTTCTGCCTATACTTTCTGTGCTCAGCTTTTAGAACAAGGTCAAAAACAAGAAAACAAGCTCACTTCAGGGATTCAGTCTAGCAAAACTTCAAAAGGATGGCTCAAGCTCAGCCCACATTCAGGCCCATCTCTCATTCCCTGGACACCTCCACTTCACTTCCGTTGTGTTAGAACTGGCCAACTGGAGTCCTTCAGATCCTTTACTAGCAAAAAATGGCTGAGCCTCAGGATCTGATAAGTGAAGACAATGGAATAAAATGTCTCTCTAGAAAGATTTTTGAAACACAATGGAAGGGAAGGGGAAGACAGGGGGTGGACTAGGGGAGGAGAAGGAGGAGGAGGAGGAACCCAGAAGGTTTTCTGTCTCAGCAGAAAATTCCTGTGCCCAGAAGGAATTTGGGGCACCAAGTCTAGTAGCCAGGTGCGGTGTGTGCTGTACATGATATTTACTATCTGACCTCCTGTTTCACAGTAACAAGCTGTTCCTTGAGAATTTCAGTGTCCCTGTGGCCTGGGCTGTTGGGCCCTAGACAGCAAACAGCGGAATGGGAATTCAACAGCCTAGCAAGCCGGGTAACCATGAAAGCACTAAGTAGGCTGGATCCAAAAGCAACAGAGTAATGGCACTGAGCTGGCACCTCCGCGTCCCTCCGCCTGCCCCCCCCCCACTCCCTTGCGCTTTGCTGACTCTCAGGTATAACCCTAATGCCATGCAGTTTCACGACAAAACCCACAGAGCTGACCCGAGCTAGCAACCTTATACAGATGGAAGAAGGGGTGGGGGAGGAGCAGAGGGAGGGCGGCCCATGTGCCTCCCTTTCGAGAGATCCTGGAGCCAACTTGGGCCCTTTTGAGTTGGAAGAAATGTCTCAACTGTCCCACTGCAAAAGTCGCACTGCCTGGGACTAAAGTGCTTCCCACGGGACAGTGGCCCAGAGACTGGAGGGCAGCACCCTCGTGCGGGAGAAGCTCAGCACATCGATTGAG